AACAACTCCTGGCTTCAGCACCACCTATCCTTACTCATTGTGATACCAGTCTGATGGACATTCCCTGGCTTCTCCAGCCATCTTCACAAGTTGCAAGTTTGGTAGATCTTCTGGCTTCACAACTCTTCCTCACTCATCCAGCGTATCTAATCTGTAATCAGTATAAAAAAAACAAAGCAAGAAGAGCACTCAGGGTGTAAAATTCCGTTTTTTTTATACTTCTACATCATCTTCTTGGCCAGATTGCTGCTGACCCCAGCAGAACTGAGCTCGAGAAGTGCAGGCAGGCGGAAGAGACTTGGCTCTGTCCATGGATAGGGAGATAGATGACTGAGTAGGACTCAGGAAACAAGAACTAAGAAGAGGAATGAAATTAAATTACAGTAAAGCTCTGAGCCAACACAAAGATACATATGAAATTATCTTCTGGCCAGTATAATCACCGAACATTCTTTTTTGTTATTTAGCTGGGCCTAGAAAAGGAAGCTCCATACATGTGCAGCAGTCATCAAGCAACTGGATGACATCACTGGGTCGAAAATGAGGAATGCAATAAAAACGGAATGATTTTATTCAAAAATCTCATTAGCATGTTGATGAGGTGTCGAAACCAGGGAAGGAAAAAAATTAGAAGAACATTTTTGACTTCTCCTGCAGATTCGGATGATTGAAGTGAACACAGCTTCATCGTACTCGGTAAACAAACATTAACTTCTCTAATGCTTTAGCCTCCATAAAGCTGAACCCATTTCGGAGTATATTAAATAACTCAGACGATCATTTTCCATTGAAATTATTTCCACGGATCGATTCATCAGACCTTAAAGAGGGGGACCGTTGAGGAGCGAAGAGGGACAGGAGGTTCTTGGCTCCAATTTAGGACCAGGTGTGAGCCACCATGTAGGTTTAGGGACGCAGTTGCGTTTGAAAAAAAGCTGAAGTCTTTTCCCTTTTAACGGCAGGTAGGGGTTTGAAAACCAGGCCAAAAACTCACATTAAACTGTTAATTAAGCCATCACTGGCAGAGGGAAGGAAATAAGAAAGGAACAGGTGTCCTTCCCTCCCGAAAACTGAGATACACCATCCTCCGGGCATGCTTTCCGAAGAAAAACCACCCGGCAGCCTCACAGCCTGATCCTGTTACAAGTTGGCACCGACGCGGGCACCATATTGCAGTGCGATGGCATTGTTGGCCCGCTGCTAATGGGGTTTAATTCCCACTAAATCCCCGGGAGCCCATTAAGCAATCAGCGCGCGAAAAACCTATTTTGCAGTTTGTGCGGAGTAATCTGCAGCATCCGCCAGCTCATCAGGAACCGCCGCTGCCGCCGCTGGGTCCAGCTGGGTCCGCTGATGAGCTGTGACAGGGAGGGACGCGGCCCAGAGCCTTGGCAGGGAGGAGATATCTCATGACGATTTAGTGACCTTGCCTCATCAGACGTGATTCATGGCCCGTAGGACGCGGAGCCAAAAAGGAGTCACACTGACACAATCGCGAGATGGTCCAAAACGAGCCGAATTAACCCTGAGAGGCAGCAACGGCATAATCTGCAACATCAAATGTAAATGAAGTGGACCTGTCCTTAATGTTTTTTTGCCTGAATCAGTAGGGCATTACCAAGTCACGGTGTTTTAAAGGGAAAAAAAAGTCGTTTCTTGCCTGGAAAAAAAAAAAGAAACAGCATCATGGGATCTAAATCAGTATTTCTAAACGTTTTTTCATTGGCAGCACCCTTTAAAGCTATGCAGAATCATCTGGAGGTACTCCAGTCTACAACGTAAAATGGGACTGATCAACCCGATGGCCTTGAAGAAATAAACTTTATATCAGAAGCCCCCCTTCTCATCAAAGGTCCCCCCATCAAGTCACAGTCCCTTCTTCACATTAGAAACCCCAATCCCATCAGTTCTCCTCCTTCACATTTAGGGCCTACAATCATCTCAGAGGTTGACCATCACATCAAAGGTCTCCCCATCACATCAGAGGTCCACCACCCCATCACAGGTCCTCCCATCACATCAGAGGTCCTCCCATCACATCAAAGGTCCCCCCATCACATCAGAAGTCCACCATCACATCAAAGGTCCCCCCATCACATCAGAATCCTCCTCCTTTACATTTATGGCCTACAATCACATCAGAGGTCCACCATCACGTCAAAGGTCCCCCCATCACATCAGAGGTTCACCATCACTTCAAAGGTCCCCCCATCACATCAGAGGTCTCCCCATCAAGTCAGAGTCCCCTCTTCACATTAGAAACCCCCATCCCATCAGAATCCTCCTCCTTCACATTTATGGCCTACAATCACATCAGAGGTCCACCATCATCACATCAAAGGTCCCCCAACACATCAGAGGTTCACCATCACTTCAAAGGTCCCCCCATCACATCAGAGGTCTCCCCATCAAGTCAGAGTCCCCTCTTCACATTAGAAACCCCCATCCCATCAGAATCCTCCTCCTTCACATTTATGGCCTACAATCACATCAGAGGTCCACCATCACATCAAAGGTCCCCCCATCACATCAGAGGTCCACCATCACATCAAAGGTCCCCCCATCACATCAGAGGTTTCCCCATCAAGTTTGAGTCCCTTCTTCACATTAGAAACCCCCATCCCATCAGAATCCTCCTCCTTTACATTTATGGCCTACAATCACATCAGAGGTCCACCATCACATCAAAGGTCCCCCCATCACATCAGAGGTCCACCATCACATCAAAGGTCCCCCCATCACATCAGAAGTCCACCACCCCATCAAAGGTCCTCCCATCACATCAGAGGTCCTCCCTTCACATCAAAGGTCCCCTTATCACATCAGAATCCTCCTCCTTCACATTTAAAGCCTACAATCACATCAGAGGTCCACCATCACATCAAAGGTTCCCCCATCACATCAGAAGTCCACCATCACATCAAAGGTCCCCCCATCGCATCAGAGGTCCCCCCATCACATCAAAGTCCCTCCATTATATCAGAACCCCCCTTCATGCCAGCGTCCCATGACATCAGAGCCCCTCCTTCATACCAGCAGAGCCCCACCTTCATGTAAGAATCCTCCCTTCACATCAGAGCCCCCCTTCCCATCAGAAATATACTCCCTTCACATCAGAGGCCTACCATCACATCAAAGGTCCCCCCAACATGTCAGAGCAGCACCATCACATCAGAGCCCCACCTTCATGCCAGTTCCCCCCATTACATCAGAGCCTCCCCCCACCATGTCAGATTCCCCCCATTATATCAGAGCCACACCTTCATGCCAGAGGCCCTCCATCTTGTCAGAGGCCACCCTTTATGTTGAAGGTTCCGAATCTCGATAAGCCCTCCACCCCCAACCACTGGGCAAGAGTTATGGGGAAGAAGCCCTTGTTCTCATCAACATAGGGACAAGATGCTTTTCCAGGGGGTCCCCCCTGGCAGGGAACCTCCCTCCCATGTTGAAGGCATGTGGCCTGGTACAGTTTAAGATGGGGGTTCTCCTTTCTCTGGTCACCTATGCATTTTGGGGGGACCTCACACTTTTTTTTTTTTTGCATGAGGTTCCCCCTTGAAATCCATACCAGACTCACAGGGTCTGGTACAGGATTTTAGGGGGGAACACCATGCCATTTTTTTTTTTTCATGGCTCCCCCCTTAAAATTCATACCAGCCCTAAAGGGCCTTGTATAAATTTGGGGGGGGGGGGGGACTTCACACTGTTTTTATTTTTAACACTATCCCTGCTGTTTGTTTACATCCACCTGTCGGGAATCCCTGATTGAGTGCTGTAAGTGCTGGTTGCTAGGATGCTGGCGGATACCGGCTCCCTAACAACCAGGAGGAAGCTGTCACATTCAGCAATGGTAATAATACAACCGATAAATGCCTCACTTTACATTGCAGCTGGAGATTTGTTCGGATGAACACCCATTGGTTCAACCAAGATTTTCCATAGACTATACACAGTGCAGAAGTCTTCCCCATAGTGTTTCCCCTGCTGGTCGAATGTTCTTAGCCTATTAACTCTCACAGCTGAATGTTCTTAAACTATTTTTCTCTTGGGGTCGAACGATAGGGAATGTTACATCCAACCAGCAAAAGAAAACAATGAAACTATTACACACATTACAGAAATTGTTTGTTACACGATTTTTGAGGCATTCACAAAGCAAACTTTTAAAAAATCGACCCTATACCTGGGATAAATCAGCACATCAACATATGCCTCGATTCCTAGATAGATTATAGCATTTGAGATATGATGGAGAACTCCATCCGCAGGATCACACAAAGCCCCCAACAAGCCCATAAGTGGTCACATTAACAAGACGGGGGCCCCCGAGCCCCCGAGCCCTGGGAGATCGACTGACACCTTCCATCCAAACACAAATCCCCGAATAATGCGGACTCACGGTGACGCACCCAGGACGCCGTTAACGCGCCTCGCGCTTACATCATGTTCTCCGCAGAGACCGCGCTGTAATAGATATGGGATTGCAGTAAATCCAGAATGCCATTATGCCGGTAATCACGGGGATTAAGGGGGCTATGGAGAGCGAGTGCCGGGACCCCCTGATGAGTCGAGGGAGTTGAATGAGGGGGAAGGAAGATATGATGAGGGAGGCCCATAGACTGCTGGACAGGATGATTTAACAGGGAAGAAATAACAATGCAAAAAAAGCAACTCTCCTCTTCTAAAACGGCTTCCTTTGATTTCACTGCACACTGTGAGCGTCTCACAGTGTGCATTAGAAACTGCAGCAAGTCATATGGAGAGCCGCCTCATTTCCTGGCTGATGGTCCCCTGCCAGGGGCAGACTGACCATTTGGGCCTGGTGTCAGTAGCAGGGGCGGAATGACAACACATGGGGCCCCCGGGCAATAGGGGATCATGGGGCCCCTGTGTCCTTGCCCAAACTCAAAAAAGCCTATGAAAAAGGTACCAGGGGCATCTCATGGGGCCAGCTACTGACCCTGGGCCCTCGGGCAGTGCCCAAGTTTCCAAATGGTCACTCCGCCCCTGGTCAGTAGGGGGCCCCATGAGATGCCCCTGGTACCTTTCATAGGCTTTTTTGGAAGTGGTTTGAGTGTGGGTGAGGACACAGGGGCCCCATGATCCCCTTTTGTCTGGGGGACCCATGAGTTGTCAGTCCACCCCTGTCCCTGTCCCACCCTTTTCATGCATTGGATTTCAGTTCCTTCAATAATAAAGGCTCAGTATCACATGAGGTCACTGCCTATGCAAATGCAGCATGGCTAGGAATGCCCGCTCCTCCATTAATGAAAGCATTTTGATATTTGCATTACTCCTCCCAAGAGCCAGCCCACAGCTTGCATCAGGGCAGAGGACGGTGTGTTGGGGGGGGTGTGTGGTTGGGGATGTGGGGGGTGGGGCTTGTGAAGGTTGAGGATGTGAAGGTTGGGCATGTGATGGTTGGGGGTGCGATGGTTGGGGGTGCGATGGGGGTGGGGGTATGGTGTTTGGGGGGGTGTGATGGTAGGGGATGTGATGGTTGGGGATGTGATGGCTGAGAATGTGATGGTTGGACTTGTGATGGTTGAGGATGTGATGGTTGGGGGCGTGTGGGGGGTGTGGGGGTGTGGGTTTGTGATGGGGGAGTTGCAATGATTGAGGATGCTATGGTTGGGGATGCAATGGTTGGGGATGATGGTTGGTTGGGGATGTGATGCCTGGGGATGTGATGGTTGGAGTTGGTGGTTGGGGATGCAATGGTTGGGGATGTGATCGTTGGGGATGTGATCGTTGGGGATGTGATGGGTTGAGAATGTGATGGTTGGGGATGTGATGGGTTGGCTGTGTGGTGGTTGGGGTGTAGTGGGTAGAGGATGTGATCATTGTTGATGTGATGGGGGGGTGTGTAATGTTGAGGATGTGATGGTTGGGGGTATGGTGTTTGGGGGGTGGGGTGGTTAGGGGATGTGGGTTGGGGGATGTGATGGCTGAGAATGTGATGGTTGGACTTGTGATGGGTTTGGGTTGATGTGATGGGGGTTTGGGGTGTGGTGGTTGTTTGGGGGGTGTGATGGTTGGAGTTGCAATGATGTGATGCATGCTATGGTTGGGGATGCAATGGCTGGGGATGTGATGGTTGGAGTTGCAATGGTTGGGGATGCAATGGTTGGGGATGCGATCGTTGGGGGATAGGATGCGATCGTTGGGGATGCGATCGTTGGCTGTGTGGTGGTGGTGGGGGGTGTAGTGGTGAGGGATGTGATCATTGGGGGGGATGTGATGGTTGGGTGTGTAATGGGGTTGAGGATGTGATGGTTGGGGGTGTGTGGTGGGTTGGGTGGGTGTGATGGGTAGGGGATGTGATGGTGGGTGTGAGGTGGGTTGGGGATGTAATGATTGAGAATGCGATGGTTGGGGATGGATGGTTGGGGATGATGCGATGTTGGGGATGCGATGGGTTTTGGGATGCGATGGGGGGTTGAGGATATGCGATGGTTGGAGTTGGGGTTTTGTGGTTGGGGATGCGATCGTTGGGGATGCGATCATTGGGGATGCGATCGTTGGGGGATGCGATCGTTGGGGATGCGATCGTTTGTGTGGTGGTTGCGGGTGTAGTGGTAGAGGATGTGATTTGGGTATGTGATGGGGGGTGTGTGTAATGGTTGAGGATGGGGATGGTTGGGGGTGTGATGGTTTTGGATGTGATGGTTGGGGATGTGATGGGTTGGGGATGTGGGGTTGGGGATGTGATGTTGTGGATTGTGGGGTGGGATTGTGGGGTTGAGATGATGTGGGGGTTGGGGATGTGATGATGATTGAGGGATGTATGGTGGGGGGATGCGATGGTTGGGTTATGGATTGGGGATTGGGGTGCGATGGTTTGAGGAATGGGGTTGAGGATGTGATTTTTGGTTGGAGTTGCAATGTGATTGGATGGTGGTGGGGGGTTTATTTAATGGTTTGGGGATGTGGATTGTTTTTTTAATTGTTTGGGATGTGGTTGGGGATGTGATGTGATGTTGGGGATGTGATGGTTGGGGATGTGATGGTTGGGGATGGGGTGGGGTTGGGGATGTAATGGTTGGATGGATGTGATGGTTGGGGGGGATGGTGGGATGGTTGGCTGTGTGGTGGTTGGGGTGTTTGTAGTGGTAGGGGATGTGATCATTGGGGATGTGATGGTTGGGTGTGTAATGGGAGGATGTGGATGGTGTTGGGCGTGTGATGGTTGGGGGTGTGATGGTAGGGGGGGTGATCGGTTAGGGATGTGATGGTTGAGGGGGGAGAGATGATGGTTGGGGATGTGTATGATTGAGAATGGAATGGTTGAAGATGGTTGGATGGTGGGGGTGCGGGGGGTTGGTTGGGGGGTGGTAGGGGATGTGATCGTTGGGGGGGTGTATGATGGTTGGGGGTGTAATGGTTTTGTAGGGGGGTGTGATCATTGGGGATGTTATGTGATGGTTGCAGGTGTGATGGATGAGAATGTGAACGGTTGGAGGTTTGTGATGGTTGGGGATGGATGGGGTGAGGGTGTAATGGTTAGGGGTGTTATTTGGGGGTGTGGATGGTTGGCGGTGTGATGATAGGGGATGTGATCATTGGGGATGTGATGGTTGAGAATGTAATAGTTGGAGATGTGATGGTTGGAGATGTGATGGTTGAGGGTTGATGGTTGGGCATGTGATGGTTGAGGATGTAATAGTTGGGGGGTGTGATAGTTAGGGGTGTGGTGGTTTGGGGTGGGGGGGTAGGGCATGTGATGGTTAGTGTTGTGATAGTTGGGGGGGATGGTGATGGTTGTTTGGGATGTGGATGGTTGAGAATGTGATGTGGGTTGGAGATGTGATGTTGAGGGTGTGATGGGGGTTGAGAATGTAATTTGGGTGTGTGATGGTTGGAGGGGTGATGTTGACAAACTGATCCTTGGGGTGTGATGAATGGGGGTGTGATGGTTGGGGGGTTGTGATGGTTGTGGTTGTGATGGTGTGTGGGGTTATTGGGCATGTGATGGTCAAGGATGTGATGGTTGCGGGGGTTGTAGTGATGGATGGGAATGTGATCGTTGAGGATGCAATGGTTGATGTTGGGGTGGGAGGGTTTGTTGGAGGTGGGGATGTGATGGCTGGGGATGTGGATGGCTGGGGGGGTGATGGTTGGGGATGTGATGGCTGGGGATGTGATGGGGATGTGGGGATGTGATGGTGTGGGATTGTGATGGTTGAAGATGTGATGGTTGAAGATGTGTTTTTGGTTGAAGATGTGATGGTTGGAGTTGCAATGATTGGGGATGCTATGGTTGTTGGGAAGCAATGGTTGGGGATGTGATGGATGGGGATGTTGATGGTTGGAGTTGCAATGATTGGGGATGCTATGGTTGGGGATGTGATGGATGGGGGAGTGTGATGGATGGGGATGTGATAGTTGGAGTTGCAATGATTGGGGGATGCTATGGTTGGGGATGCGATGGATGGGGATGCGATGGATGGGGATGCGATGGATGGGGATGGTGTGATAGTTGGAGTTGCAATGATTGGGGGATGCAATGGGGTTGTTGGGGATGCGATGGTTGGGGATGCGATGGCTGGGGATGGATGGCTGGTGGGGATGCGATGGCTGGGGATGCGATGGCTGGGGATGTGATGGTTGAGGATGTGATGGTTGGAGTTGCAATGATTGGGGATGCAATGGTTGGGGATGCAATGGTTGGGGGATGCGATGGTTGGGGGGATGCGATGGTTGGGGATGCGATGGTTGGGGTTGCGATGGTTGGGGATGCGATGGCTGGGGATGTGATGGCTGGGGATGTGATGGTTGGGGATGCGATGGTTTTTGGGATGCGATGGTTGGGGATGTGATGGTTGGGTGTGTGATGGGTGGGTTGTGAATGGTTGGGTGTGTGTTGGTTGGGGATGTGATGGTTGGGGATGCAATGATTGGGGATGCAATGGTTAGGGGTGTGATGGCTATTGATGTGTTGGTTGAGGATGTGATGGTTGGGGGGATGCAATGATTGGTGATGCTATGGTTGGGGATGCAATGATTGGAGATGCTATGGTTGGGGGATGCAATGACTGGGGGTGTGATGGTTGAGAATGTGATGGTTGAGAGATGTGATGGTTGGGGGTGTGAGGGTTGGAAATGTGATGGCTGGGGATGCTATGGTTGGGGATGTGATGGCTGGGGATGCGATGGTTGGGGATGCTGCGGTTGAGAATGTGATGGTTGAGAATGTGATGGTTGAGAATGTGATGGTTGAGAATGTGATGGTTGAGAATGTGATGGTTGGGGTTGTGAGGTTAAGGGAGTGTTAAAATGCAGAGAGAAGATATTTACAGGATGAAGACATTTTGCAATGCCTAGTTTGTAATCATTTCAAGGAGAAATGTTAAAATAAAATGTCATTTCCTAATCCTGTTAGACTTGACCGGCTCAGCAGACAGAGCTCTGCTATTTATCATCCAATCTGACATCCCACAAGGCCAAGTCTAGGATCTCTTCTGTTCAGCTGGAAGAGGGCACCCCCACCCCCACCTTGCTGGGCAGACACCTTCATCCATCATGCATCACTCTCCACTCCACTTTGAGAACAGTTTCACTACTACTACTACCTCCCCTTTATGATGGTCACCGCATTGCCAGCACTGTCGCCCGCCCCCCCCCGCCCCCAGTACAATCATTTTACATTTGCACAATTACCAACATTTCACAACTTTCACAAACACTGATAACTTCTTCATTGTGGGAACTGCTGCCTAAAATTTAAAGCTGGACTCCAGACAGACATAAAAGACCCAAATTATGCAGATCTGTGATATTAATACATCATTAAATGAATTGTTTACATTTATTTATTTTTTTCACTTTAGTGTCCTGATCTCCCATTCTAAACCTTCATAAACCGATGGAACAATTTTTTTTTTTTATAAACAGCATAACTCAAGACAGTCCTCATAAATGGACCTCTGCCTGGTCCTCAGGGGCCCCTGGTCTGGCCCCAGTCACTCCTGGGAGAATTGGGAAATAGAGGTCTCTTTGTAGAATGTGACTATCAGGCCCTTAATGTCAATTTTCTTGGTTGAGCTTAATTCACTTAGTCCGTGGTTCCCCGACAGCTCATTTGTCACAGAGATTTGCGGC